AGTATATAGGTTTTTAAAGTATTCCCTTATAATGTTCTCTATCTTTCTGGTGTGTGTTGTGATGTTTCCCCTTTCATCTCTGATTTTGTTGATTTGGAGGTGCTCTTTCTTTTTTTTGGTTAACTGGGCTAGTGGTCTGTCAATCTTGTTTATCTTTCAAAGAACCGGCTTTGTTTCAATTTCATTAATTTCTGTCCTGACTTTTGTTATTTCTTCTTGTCTTCTGGGTTTGGATTTCATTTGCTGTTTCTTTTCAAGTGTGTTGAGCTGCAACGTTAAGTCATTTATTTGTGTTCTTTCAGATTTTTTTATGTAGCCACTTAGAGCTATGAGTGTCCCTCTTAAGGACAGCTTTCAGCATGTCCCAGAGGTTTTGTTGTGTTGTATTGTCCTTTTCATTTAGTTCCAGGAATACTTTTATTTCTTCCTTAATTTCTCTTTTGACCCATTCATCATTCAGGAGTGTGTTGTATAATCTCCATGTGTGCATATGGTGATTAGGGCTTCTTCCAGTGTTGATTGTAAGCTTTATTGTATTGTGGTCTGATAGAATGCATGGAATTATTTCAATCTTTTTGTATTTGTTGAGTTTTTTTTTTTTTTTTCTGCCCCAGTATGTGGTAGATTTTGGAGAAGGTTCCATGGGGTGCTGAGTATAAAGTATGTCCTTTGGTGCTTTGGTGGAATACTTGGTAGATGTCTGTTAAGTCCATTTGATATATGTTATTGTTTAATTCAGGTATCTCTCTGTTAACTCTCTGCCCTGTGGACCTCTAATGGACACAGTGGGGTATTGAAGTCCCCTACTATTAATTAGTCGGGATTAATATGGGTCTTAAATTCCTGTAGTATTGTTTTTATGAAGTTGGGTGCACAGAGTTTGGTGAACATATGTTCATGATTGTAATATCTTATTTATTTATTGTTCCTTTGATCAGAATGAAGTGGCCCTCTTTATCTCTTCTGATTAGTTTTAAAGTCTATTTTATCAGATACTAGAATTCTAACACCTGCTTTTTTTCTTAGTACCATTTGCTTGGTATTTT